GGGAGTGCAGGTGAGTGTGCAGGTGAGGATACAGGTGAGTGTGCAGGTGGGAGTGCAGGTGAGGGTACAGGTGGGAGTGCAGGTGGGTGCGCAGTTGGGGGTGCAGGTGAATATGCAGGTGGGTGTGCAGGTGACTGTGCAGGTGAGGATACAGGTGAGTGTGCAGGTGGGAGTGCAGGTGAGGGTGTAGGCGAGGGATGTGACTGTGGTTGTTCAAGCCTGGTGTAATCAGGGCCCACAGGCTGACAGCAAGATGCCCTCCCTGCCTCCCTCACAGAAGCGGATGCAGCAGATCATGGCCCACTGTTTCCTGGCCGTCAAATCCAAGCTCCAGTGCAAGCTGGGTTACTTCGACCTCATTGGCTGTGACTTCCTGATTGATGAGAACTTCAAGGTGCTGTCCTGGGTGGCTGGGCCTGGTAGGCAGGGGCCATCGCACGCTCTGACCACACAGGAGGGCCCCGGGGTGGGCTCTGCATTCAGATCCCACCCTGCCTGCACCCAGCCCTGGTGGAGGGGGTGTCCCCGAGGCTCAGTTCCTACTGCAGCAGGGGCAGATCTGCAGTCCCCAGACCAGACCCTCAGAGCCTCAGCCCCTGAGCAAACACCGGGAGTTAGTGCACAGAAAAGAAGCGACCTGGCCAGTCACCTGGCTTAATAGGGACCAGAGGCTCAGCCTTCTGCTGGCCAAGTGAGCTTTGGCTAAGGTCTGGGGAGGGATGCTCACCAGTGTCCCGCCCAGGTGTGGCTGCTGGAGATGAACTCCAACCCCGCCCTGCACACCAACTGTGCCGTCCTGAAGGAGGTGATCCCAGGCGTGGTCAGCGAGACCCTGGGTGAGCGCCTGGCCAGCCCCCCCAGCCACAACCATCCAAGTACTGCCTGCCCAGTCATGGGTAGTTCAGGCTCCCCAAGTCTGGGTCCCCAACATCCAGCCTCCCCGCTAAGGCGGTGTCACCCCCACTCCTCACCCCACCAGGGCCCCACCCCTGGAGACCTTCCTGTCCTCCCCCACCCCAGCCCCACAGACACGGTGCCAATGCCCCCCACTCACCCGCGCCCCCAGACCTGGCACTCGAGACCTTCCAGAAGAGCTTGCGAAGCCAGAAGATGCTGCCGCTGCTGTCTCAGCGCCGCTTCGTGCTCCTGCACAATGGGGAGGAGGACCCGGGGCCGCGCCCGGGGGCCCTGCGCGGCCTCCCCCACCCACCGCCACCCCGCGCGCGCAGGCCCGCGACACCCCGGGACCCTGGCGGTGCTCACGGCCCGGGCACAGCCGAGGAGGAGCGCGAGGAGCGGAAGGACGCCAGCCGGAGCAGCTCCTAGCAGCGGCCACCAGCGCCCTGCACCCCCCGGACACCATAAAGGCTACTTTGTCACAAACACGGCTCCGCGTGGTCATGGCCCACCCACCAGCGCGCCCACCGGGGCTCCCCACGCCCGGACTCTGCCCCGCGCCACTACTGAGACCTGTCCTCGGGGGAAGACGGGGCTAAGGGACACTCTGTGCTGCTCATCGCCCTGGACCCTCCTGTGGCCCCACAGCCGCCATGACCCCCAGCCCTGGCACTGTGACCCACCATTGCCTGGTGTCCCGGGAAAGGGTCTGGATCCCCATGGACCCCTCAGAAGTCCTCTGGGTCTCCCAAGGAGGGCTCCCCCCACCCAAACCCAGGATCGCTCCCCTGGGGCAGTCCAGGGGGCTCGCCCATCCTGCCGGGCACCGAGCACCCGTCTGGTCCACAGCCTGGCCAACCCCCAGCTTGCCTGCACAAGCCCCAGGACCTTGGCCAGGGGCGAGGGGTACAGTGCTGCTGGCCCGACAGGACACGCCCGTGAAGGACCTGCTGAACGGGCACTGGCCGGGCCATCACCAACCCCCAGGGGGCCTCTGGTGCGCCTGCTCCCTGTGGGCCTGGGGTTTGGGACGAGAGCTCTGACACCTCAGGCCCTCTGAGACCTATGCCTCCCCCACACAACACACAACACACACGCACGCGACCCTAGGCTCACCCCAGCTTGCACTCTCTCCTCCCTCGTGCCCTGTCCCCAACTCTCCAAACAGTCCCCACCAAGTCACAAGCTCCTCCTGATCCGCATTGTCCCAGACACCAAAGTCGGCTCCACCGCAGATGGGAAGAGTTGGCGGGACCCTGTGCCTACTCTGCCTTGGAGCAATGGTGGGACCTGAGGGGGCCAAGGGACCCTGTCCTGGGCCACGTGGCCACCCCACTGCTGCACTGTTAGTGCTGCGACGGCCCTGGCGCCACTAGAGGGCGCAGTCCACCGCAGCACTTGGAGAAGGGGACGGCTGGACAGGAAATGGGGCTCAAAGAGGTAGTGAAGTGCCAGCCCCCCACCTCCCAGGTCACAGAGCCAGTGAGGAGCCCAGCCTGGGGCCAAGGACAGCCCTCCTACCCCCTCGTTCTGCTGCTGTGGCCTGAAGTGTGGGGTCCCTGTCACTGTGCAACAAGGCCCAGGAGCCCTGAGTCCCCTCTGAGCAGGTGTGCTGGTCCCTCTGTGGAGGGCCAGGCTCAGCCACAGCTTGGTCTGTATCCCACTGAGGCCAAAGAGGGGTGACCACCAGCCTCCTGGGTGGGCCAACAACCCAGGTCTTGGTAAATTCACACCCACCCTTCGGGGTCAGGGCCACATTTCCCACTGCAACTAAGGCTGCTACACAGCCATGTCACCTTGGGTCACCTCCCAGTACCTCCCTATGCTCCTGCCACCCCCCAGGCTCTCTGTGCTCCATGGGCCTCCCCCCAGGTGCCCTGCCCCACCCAGGTGCCTCATGGCTCTAGCTGTCACACTGTGGCCCTGCTCAGGGCTGTGACCCATGGAGGCATCAGTAATGTCATGGAACATTCCAGGTCTCCTCACCCCCTATGGTGGAGCTGCACCAGCAGAGGTGACATAAGTGGCGGGGGACATGCCTCCCTGCTGCCTTGGGGACCATGGAGCCTCCACACTGGGCTCCGAGTGGATGTGATGACCGCTGGGGTCCTGCAGCATGAGAAGTGCCTGTTGGCAGTGGCCTGTGCTGTCCTGACAGCCTGCCCCAACCCGATGCGCCCCAGAGCCCGGCCCGTATCTGCTGCTCAGTTCCCAGGTGTCCTCCAAGTGCCCGAATGGCAATGATTAAAGAAGGTTTCCCCGAAATCCATGGCTGTTCACTCACCCCCCAGCGATGTCCCCACCCCCATCTGGGTCCTCCCGGACCCACCCATCCACATGCAGGCTCCATCTGAGGTGCCCACGTCCACGAGGCCAGAACAGGATGGACCACTGCGGGAAGCGGGCTGCGGGCCACCTGAGTACCTGGAATACCTGGGGCCCTGGGTATCCTGCAGATACAAGGTGCTCCCCAATATTCACCCGATGTGACCACTGCAGGCACAGCGAAGGGTCAGGACCCCCGGGGGGGCTCGAGGAGCCAGCAGTGAGGCCAGGGATGGCTTCAAAGTTTGTAATCAGGGTGAATGGAAGTCCCGGGAGCTGAGCCCCCCCATCCTCTGCCTCTCCCCATTTCTCTCCCAATCTCCCCACCTCTTCCTTCCTCTCCTTCTCTCTCCCTCAGGGGAGGGCTGGGGGACGGCTGCTGGCGGGGGACTCAGCGGTGCCTGCCACGTGCCCCAGCTCTGACCCAGGCACCCCCACCCCCTCATCCCCGCAGCCTCCGTCTTGGGGGCACAGACCCTCACCAGCCAGGGCCTGGGGTCTGGGGAACGCCTTCGGCAGCTTTTGTTTCGAACAAAGAGCCCATGGAGCCCTGAGGATTTGGAGGGTGAGGCTCCGTGGGGCTCCCTTGTCCCCTTGGTATGTGTCTCTGAGAAGGGGCCGGGGAACAGCCTCTGGCCTGAATCAGCATCTCTGGAAAGCTCCCCGTTCCAGAAGCTTCCTGGGCAGATGAGTTATGTGGGCTTGGTTGTCTGCTTCCTCTTCACTGCAGACCCAGCTGATTTCCATGGGGGTTGGGGACCGGCTGAGGGGCAGCCCCTCCAGGAGCGAGCCCTTTCCTGTCCCCAGGAAGGCGGACAGGAGAGATGGCCCAGGTCCCGGTCAGGAGCCCTGAGAGGCCAGGCCTAGCATCTGTGCCTACCCGGTCAGCGGAGCCACATCCCCTGCCCCGCAAGGTCCCCCTGCAGCTGTCCTGGAACTTGGGCTGGCAGGGGCTGGTGTCCAGCTCTGTCTGGGAAGAAACCCCTTCCCTGCCCCCACCATAGGTGGCTCTGTTCAGTGGGGAGAGGGGGTTCCCACCCTGGCTGAGTCCATTTCTCAGTGAAGGGAGGGGTCTTTTCCAGCAGAGTGAGGGGGTGGGGACCACTGCTGCAGCCGGAAGCGCTTCTGGGAACAGAGGTGGCCTCTGGGCTCTTATCTGAGGCTGAACTCTGACCCCAGAGGGAGGGGCAGGGGCTGTGGTTTTCCGGAGCAGCTGAAGAGCCGCTCCTGTGGGGTTTCCAGGGAGGGCAGTGAGGGGCTGGAGCTGGCCTGGGTAAGGCAGGGTCTCACTTTGGTGTCCCGGCTGCCAGGCTCTATGGGCGGGCGCACCTGCGCCCACCCCAGCAAGCTGAGGCCTGGAGCGGGTCTGTGCTGAGTGGGAGGGGGTCTGGGGCCTCCACAGCGGCTGTTTTTGGCACCCGGCCCCCATCCCCTTTCCCCACAGCCCAGCACTTCTGTGTCCCCTGCGTCCCCACCCCCCACTTCCACCACGTGGCCCCTTCCCTGCCTGAAACGCCTGGTGGGAGCCGGTGGGAGCCTCTTGCACGCCGGCCTGGGGTCCCCGCCCC